GTGCACGCAAGAGAGGGAGAGAGAGAGAGAGAGAGAGAGAGAGAGAGAGAGAGAGAGAGAGAGAGAGAGAGAGAGAGAGAGAGAGAGAGAGAGAGATCACATCATCACACACACAAAACAATATTACTATCTATGACTTCCTTTCTTCCTCTCCTTCTAGTTTTTTTTTATTTAACCTATTCATGTTGTTATTTATGCTGGCCACTTTGTATGTGCTGACTAACCCCGTGTTTTCCTCAGTGTCTACCTGTAGCACCTTCAACATGTGCCAAATAGTAAGTGCTTAAGTTCCTTTTCTCAATTTACGTGTGTCATCCTTGCACAGGGGCCATGCAAATCTCGTCTGTATCGTTCCAATTTTAACGGATGTAAAGTGCCTGCAAGGCTGCAGCACTTGACAGTGGCACAAACCTACATTCTGCAACACTTGGTATGTGCTGTGTTTTTTGCACTGCCCTGCTGCTTGGAGCCCCCTGTGCGCTTGCCCTTGCGTAGCCTTATTACACCCCTGCTATTTGACCTTGCTGCTTGCCTACCCGCTTGACTCCCTTTTACCCATATCAGCAATAAATGACCCTCCGAATCCTCCTGACTAAAGTGCTGCGTAACTGATCGATCCTCAACTCGAAGCAGATGCACAACCCATTAATCTTTCGGTCGAATGGACGGTTGTCTGGGTCTTGAACGTTTTCATGACCATTGAAACGCACGAGCAGTTCACAGATGCCTTCGGCAACGTCCGCTGCCTATTAACTAGTATTAAGCAATCATAAACCACCCTGTATGTTTCCCAGCTATAGTGAGAAAGCCGCAGTATTTCCGAATGAATGAATTTGTCCATGTGGTGCAGAGCAGTACATCCCAAATCATACACGGCCTCATTATAAGGAAGTACTTGTGGTGTAATGTATCTGCCTGCTTGCCATGTGGATGCTTGTTGAGTTGCCTCCCTTGCTTCCTCCCTTGCTGCCTCCCTCGCTGCTGTGGACCCACTTGCTAAGACTGTGCGCCTGGCTGCAACCTGGCTTGCTGCTTCGTTGTCCGTCTTCGTGCGTGCCCGCCTGCCTCCACCTCCACCTGCCCACCCTTAACTTCAAAGCTACATGTTCGCCTTTCTGCTTGTGTTGTCACCTGACTGGCCGTCCACTCACACCAGGGGTCGAAGTAGAACACGACTCAACGCATCGACATCGGAATTCTAAGGAGCGTTGATGGTTCAGTCTCCTGATTAGCCGGTGACAGTCCGATGAAAGTCTGTCACTACCCCTGCTCTTCTCCATTCGTCTTTTTTTCTTGCTCTGTTTGTGATGCAAGCCGTTCTATCTAAGTCTTACATGAGAATGAGCATGAGTTCCAGTCATTGGCATTCATCCTTGAGGGATCATAGTTTGGAGCATTTTGTGCAGGAGAATTTCTTATATAAACACATCATCATCACCCTCCCCCCCTCTTCCCCCCCACACCCACACAAATCATCATCATCATCATCATCATCATCATCATCATCATCATCATCATC